GGTTCATTTGAGATCAAGTTGCTACAAAGAGAAAAAAGAGAGAAAGAGAAGAGGAGATCTTCTCTCACATTTGGTCTGTGTCTATGCACACCAGAGAGCCATGTAAAGGTATCAGTATGATCAAAAAGTGGATTTTGCATAATAGGACACCTTTAAATCATGTACAGAACTCATCTGTACAGCTGGAACATTGTGGTGCACATTCAGTTTTTTTTAAAGAAATATTCAGTGAAGTGAAATATGTTCATGTTTATTGGCAGGAACCCTGGTTTCAATCAGGTTTAACTGTCGAGACATTTTCTGCCATTAGGCAATGGAACTTGTGATAATGATAGTTTTCATTAAGGTATGTTAATGTTTGACAAAAAGCTTGTACAGTGTATTGAATATTAAAATACAACAAATATAGTGTTTAATAATAGTGCTTCTATTGTTTGACCACTTTATAAGGTCATTAGCTTTTGGCATAGTGTTTTTTTTTTTTATCACTGTCTCTCTGTCAGCAGTCTGGCTCTGTGCCGAGAGGGCAGGACCATGTCAAAGTCCATGTGCAGAGCTCTGAAGAGGCAGGGCTCCACCTTGCAGTTTGCCCGCTGACCACATGCCGAAAGCACGGTGGCTCAGCATTGCACTGGGGCAAACAAATTTTTTTTTTTGTTACTGCTACAGATGGAGCTCTCAGATAGCTAGAAAGTGTCATTACCAGTTATGGTGCACAGGAGCCACAGAGAAGTAATTTCTATTCAAAATATTAGCCTATAAATTACAACCCCAAATCAGAAAAAGTTGGAACAGTAAAGCATTTGCCATGGTGTGATGTTGCCATTCCCTTGCACAACACTTAAAAGATGTTTAGAGATTGAGGACATCGAGTGAAAGAACATCACAGCCTTTGCCAAGTTTGGACCGAGATGTCAGATCTGCGGCTGTCAACTGAAGCTGGGAGTCCTCTGGTGTTTATGATAGCTTCATGTTAGCTAGCCTTACCAGCCCCAGGCTCAGTGGTCATGAAAAGAAGAAAACAGAGATAACTGCTTGAGCAGGGACTTTCTTCTGCTTTGACACAGCAAACATAATATTTGCCCTCTTATGCTTTGTAATACTGCACTGCAAGCGTATCTAGATGCTTTTATTTTAGCTAACTACTGTAACTTTCTTCCATCCTTAGTAGCATGTACATTATTGCACTGAGCGCTTCCCCAAAATAAATAGCACCGCTTCTCATGTCGCAATCAAGTTCTTAAAGGGGAGGCCTGACCAGTAACACAATGAAAAAATATCCACAGTGCATTGAACATCACTAATGTTTGTGTCAGCTGCTTTAGATTGTATGATCTCAATCATTACGCTGATCAGTCGAAGTGAGGATACACTCTTGGGGGAACAGTGGGCGCTGTGTGTTATCATGTGAAAAGGGCCCATTTTTGTGCAGCGAGGCACAGTGATGTAGGTTGCCAGAGTTATGTTTGTTCCACTAGCAGAGTGTGTGTGGTGAGTGAGTTATGTTAATGCTCACAGGATGAGTGGTAAGCGTCTAGTGTGGTAGTTGTAGTGTAGAAAGGGCTTGTGCCCTCTCGCTCTCAGCTAACGCTGCTGTCTAACCCTTTTTGGGTGAAAAGGAGGCTGAGTGCATAAGTCCTCCCTGTCAGTACATAGCCTCTCCACCAGGACCCTAGCTATGCCTCTTCGTGGCACCACACATCGACTGGGTACCTTGTGGCCCCAGGCCAAATAGCTAGGGATCTCAGAGGAGCTTGGCCCCCAGAGGTAAGGTGTGGAGGCCCACCAACGTGTGGACAAGCCCTGGTACCTACCGACCAAGCCCCATCTATGGGTTAAATAGACAGTGACCAGGCCTGACTATGATGTTGTGCGGTGTGAGTGAGTGACTAGCAGAGCCAGAAACTGTGTGGTGGGGCTACAGAAAATAGGGTGGGCCTCTTCCAAAACCATTACCTTAGTGATACCAGCCAAAATCACACAATTACAACCATACCTGCCTACAAAGGTGTAGGTTCGGTCTCACCACAGCTGGTTTGGTCCCAGAAGTACCAAGCGGCAACCTCCAAGGCTGAGAAATGAAGCCAATGTGAAAAATGAAGCCAATGCAGAAGTGTCGGTTAATATTGTTGAAAAATATGGTAATGAGTAGGC